TAAAATGGTGGGTGTTGACATTTTTTTATATCACACAGTATTTGCGCAGCAACAGAGGTAGTAAGATGTTTCTTGTAGTTGGTTATCAGGTTTGCGTACATCTCAGGAGGCATTTTGGCCCACTCTTCTTTACAGATCTTTTCTAAATCCTTAAGGTTTCTTGGCTGTTGCTTGGCAGCTCTGAAGTTTCAGCTCCATCCATAAATTTTTCATATTATTAAGGTCAGGAGACTGGCTAGGCCACTCCATGACCTTAATGTTCTTCTTCTTGAGCCACTCCTTTGTTGCCTTGGCGGTATGTTTTGGGTCATTGTCATGCTGGAAGACCCATCCATGACCCATCTTCAGTGTTCTGGCTGAGGGAAGAAGGTTCTCATACAAGATTTTATAATACATGGCCATGTCCATTGGCCTCTTTGTGCTTTGGAGCTGTTTCTCTGCTAAAGCTACAGACCACCTTTGCTGCATTATGGTTCCACCTTGGTGCTTGACTGTAGAGATGGTGTTCTTAGGGTCATAGTCAGCATTTTTCTTCCTCCAAACATGGCGAGTCGAGTTAGTGTCAAAGAGCTCAATTTTGGTATCATCTGACCACAGCACTTTTCCCAATCCTTTTCTGAATCATTTAGATGTTCATTGCTAAACTTCAGATGGGCCTGTACATGTGCGTTCTTGATGGGGACCTTCCGGGTGCTGCAGGATTTCAATCCATGGCTGCGTATTGTTACCAATGGTTTGTTTGGTGACTGTGGTCCCAATTGTCTTGAAATCATTCACAAGCTCCTCCTGTGTATTTCTGGGTTGATCCCCCACTTTTCCCATAATCATCCTTACCCCATGAGGCGAAATCTTGCATGCAGCTCCAGACCGAGGGCGATTTGATGGTTATTTTGTATTTCTTCCATTTGCGAATAATCGCTCCAACAGTTGTCTCCTTCTCACCTAGATTCTTGCTGATGGTCTTGTAGCCCATTCCAGCCTTGTGCAGATCTACAATCCTGTCCCTCATGTAAGGAGAGGTGTATTTTATACACATAATGAGTTGTTGTTAGCACCTTCTTAAACTGACAGGACGATTCTGTGTACCACATGAGCACATAGCCAGTCTGTGGGAGCCAGAATTATTGTTTGTTGTTAAGGGATAAAATACTAATTGTAAGCACTGTACATGTACATTTTATTTTGGCTATGGTTGTACTGTAATCTGTACTTGTCTTAGCTTTTTAGTTTACTGCAAACTCAATTTATAACATTTGTATTGTGGGTTTTTTTTCTGGATTTTTGGTTGATATGCTGTCTCTGTCATTTAAAAAAAAATACACCAATGATAACAAATATAGACCCTTCATTTCTTTGTAAGTGAGCAAACCTACAAAATCTGCAGGGGATCAAATACTTATTTTACACACTGTATATGTACATTTTGTTTTGGCTATAGTTCTACTGTAATCTGTACTTGTCTTGGCTTTTTAGTTTAGATTTTTTAAGACCAATATTTGAAATCGTAGGAAAAATGTATATTCTGCTATATTTTTGTAAAAAAATTATAATATAAGAGTTCAGTGATCCACAAAGATGGGATAGTGATGCTTCTTGTTGGCAAAGGGGAAATGTCTGTCCTTGAGATGTTCACCAGGTGTTCGATGCCATTTGTGACCTGACTTCCTGACTACTCTTCCAAAAAAGGAACTGATACATGCTGAACATTTATAGTGATCAGCTCATCACAATGGGTCATCTTCACTATGATGTGAAGATTTTATTATATATGGCATTTATTATTATTGATGTGTACATTGTGTGTACCAGGAGACTGTATGTGATTGGGTATTATTAGTGAACCTAGATCCATTTTTGAATAAAGAGTACTTCGATTTTAGGAGTTTTATAATGCATGGTATCTGGGATTTTTAATTGTTTAGTTTTTTTTTTTTTTTTTTTTTTTCTTGTTCAGTAGTCTTTTTTTGAAAGTTTAGTGATAGTAGACAATTTGAGTTAAAAAGTATTATGCCTGATTGCAGTGGGGTATTATAGTACAATCAGCATTTTAGAAAATAAACCGTACACAGTAAGATAGCATTTATTACCTTCGAGTCATCAAGCAATGATGCCTAAAACGTGGCGTAGATAGCTGTAACATGCAGGGAATATTTTTGTTAATTGCTAGGGTGGGAGTTATTTCAGAATTATGGAAATGTGAATATAAGTTATATTAATAAAATGTGAATATTTCCTGTAATTGTTTTGAAGTAATACTTAGGAGAGAATGTAATTGTTGTGCTTATAGAAAAAAACGAACTCAATAGTTAGTTCCCTGAGATGCTCATTTGGAGTTCTGCCCCCACCTCTCTTCTCTCTGTCCTCTTTTTCTGTCTTCTCACCACCCTTGGAGTGTGTAGTTTGTACAACAGGAAATGTTTTAGAGTGGAATTATAGTCTGCTGCAAGCCCCCAGGGTTTTTGCCATTTATGAGCAAGTATGCATGGCATATCTGTACATTATTGCAGAGTTACCTGTCTAAGCTCCTTTCTCCAGCAATGGCACAGATAGGCTTTTCCTTTTGCCACTCCATCACTAATATTTTCATCCACTCTTCCTCCTGTTTTTGGCATCTTCAACCATCTTGACTCGCCAGCATGGAAAGGCGTTACTCCCATGTATTATTATTATTATACAGTATTTATAAAGCGCCAATAGTTCGCTCAGTGCTGATGTGGGAGTTAATTCATCCTGGCACCCAGGGCATACTGAGATTCTACACTGAGCTGTGCATGCATGGCTTAGTGTACAATTACAAGAACATTGTTGAAAGGCAGAAAGGAAATTATTTTGTAGAGGAGCCATACAGAGTCTGCTGTGTTTTTTTTTCCTATGCTTTAATAGGGACATAGGTGGGTCCATGCATTGAGGAACCTCCATAAAGGCAGAGTGCGCACAGGCCTACATGTTCCTGCATCTGGGAGTGTGGAAAGAGTTGGATGTTTATGGTATTTTTGGATTTGGCGAATATGCCGCCCTATGGATAACCTATAAAAAGATGATGTGCTGATCGTGTTGTGGGAGGGCACAAAGGTGGAATTGGGTACATTATATTTATATTTGAATGTAATTTGAACAGTCGTGATACAAATCTAACCTTTTTGGTTGACAGAGAGTATTACCTTTTTGGATTTTTAACCATGACTGAAAACTGTCAACTTGTCACAAGTATTTTTAGAAAATCCACTGCTGGTAATATGTACCTCCATGCTACCATCCATCAGCGTTAGTTTGGGGGATTGCTATGAGACCGTTCTTCCAATTATTGAAAAATTGTATCTATACACAATTTTAGGTTGAGGCAAATTAACTGACACAGTATTAACTCCATTGAGGTTATTCCCACAGGAGTTTTGAAAGAAATTTAAAAGCCTTTAAGAGAAATAGGTGACAAGCATGTAAAACTAAAAATGAAGTACATGAATATATCAGGTAATATCAACCAATGTGTGGGACATGAGAAGATGTTGGAAGGTATGCTGACAGAACTGGCATACAATATTTTGGCAGCTAACCCATGAGTGGCTGAAATTGTGGGTCATCATTCTTTTATGGTTGCCCATAGAGCCAAAAATATTGGTGATCATTTGGTTCATACTGAATTAATTTAAATGAAGAATGAGATGTTGTTTCAAAGGGAAGAATAACCGTATGTATTGGAGTTTTGCAACATATATACATGGAAAAGAAAACTACTTCTGAGACTGTTGATGGCATCGAAACCTACTGGATCTTATCGTTTTTATTAACTGCAGAGCAACGAAGGTGATTTACCTGTTGATTTACCAGATGTCCTGTTTGAAATATTATGTAGGGAAATTAAACCAGGAGATGCACAAAAGCATAAGGGAACTCCTTTGTGATATAGGGGCATCTAAATCTAAAAGGTCCATGGCTTCATTTTGTGACTGGCCAGGAAGAGGGAGATGGAGACCCAACCTCCACACTGGGGTTTATGAGAATTGCAGCACTTGCATCCAAGCAGCCTGGAATTGCAGCGCCACATAAGCAGACTTGCTGGTTGTACAGGAAAGACCATATGATGGAGTTGCTTTTGAAGAAAGGAATGTTTAACTGCAAGTAAAGTTTTATTGTCCCTGAGGTTTGACTTTAAGCAATAAAAACAGAGTTTCATCAGCATAGCATGTATATTTACCTTTTTCTGTTTGTTTTAGGGATCCACGCAAAAGTCTATCACATAGGCTTAACAAACTGTAAATAAACTTTAAAACAAGCCATCACAGACCCCTATAGCTGCATACACTATGGAGAAGTATACAAATAATTCACAAAATTTGTATTTGAAGCTTACTAGTTATGAGCCAGGGTCAATGGGTTTCAACAGGCAGATGCATTTTCTCATCAGTTTTAGACACTTCTAAGATCATTCAGAATTAATTGCAGGTGTTGTTTATCTGCACTCGAGCTGCTTTTAAATTTTCATAGACTAGTATGGGGAAAAGAGCAATAGTGAAGGGAGTAAAAGCCTATGAATACAAAACCCTTACTTTCACTTTCTCTGGTAGTAGCTCAGCTCTCCCCCCCATCCTCAGCTGTAGGTTGGCAGCCAGCCTTCTAATTTATACACTAAGCAGATATACGATAGGGAGTTCAGAGTGCTGAGACCAGACTTGAGCAACTTCACTTTGCTGTAAAACTGGAGGTTGAATTGATTCCCATTGACTATGACTACATATGTCAGCCAGGGTTAAAAATTATAGTTTGTTTACTGTTTGGCAGCAATATGTAAACATTAACCACCTGCCGCCCGCCATATAGTAATATGAAGGACGCAAAGTGGTTCCCTCATTCTGGGAGGACGTCATATGACGTCCTCCCATTCTCACTCTCAACTCGGCTCAGGGAGCGCGCAGCGTGGCGATCGGCGGTGCGCTGTGTCCCTCGGACACAGCAGATCACCGATCACGGAAAGAACCAAAGATGTCGGCTCGGTCATGTGATCAGCTGTGTCCAATCACAGCTGATCACATGTAAACAGGGAAATGCCGGTTATCGGCATTTCTCTCCTCTCGAGCTGTCACGCTGACAGCTCGAGAGGAGAGCCGGTAATCGGCTTTCCGCGGAGGGGACATGTACACTGATCATCAGGGCACTGATGATCAGTGTGCCCTGATGATCAGTGTAGCCCCAGCAGTGCCACCTGTCAGTGTCCATCAGTGCCTTGTGTCAGTGCTCATCCATGCCACGTGCCAGTGCCCATCAATGCCACATATCAGTGCCTACCAGTGCGCATTAATGCCATATATCAGTGCCCATCTGAGCTGCCTTTCAGTGTCACTCGTCAGTGCCTCCTATCAGTGCGTGTCAGTGCCATTTATCAGTGCCATATATCAGTGCTGCCTTTCAGTGCCCATCAGTGATGCCGGTCAATGCCCATCAGTGCCACCTACCAGTGCCTCCTCATCAGTGCCACCTATCAGTGTCCATCAGTGCAGCCGATCAGTACCCATCACTGCAGCCTCATTAGTGCACATCAGTGAAGGAGAAAAATCACTTATTTTACAAAATTGTATAACAAAAACTAAGAAAAAAATTTTGTTTTTTCAACATTTTCAGTGGTTTTAGGTTTGTTTAAGAAAAAATACAAAACCCAGAGTTTATTAAATACCACCAAAATAAAGCTCTATCTGTCACAAAAAAATTTGAAAAATTTCATATGGGTACAGTGTTGCATGACCGCGCAATTGTCATTCAAAGTGTGACAGCGCTGAAAGCTGGAAATTGGCCTGGGCAGGAAGGGGGAAAAAATGCCCTGTAGGCTTGTGGTTAAAATGTCCATATCCTGTCTCCAGTTTTTCTTAAGGCAAATTTGACAAAAATTCACAGAGGTAGCAATGTAACCTGAGGCTGACTTTGGGTAAAGTTTTTTATTGGGGCCAGCAAGAGGGCGATGCTTGAACCAATGAATATTCTGGTCTGCATTTTGTCAAACTAAAATTCTGACCCATTAAGAAGGATTTACCTTGGTGGAGCATCAGGTACAGAAGATGCAAGGGAGGAAAGGAAAGACCATGAAGGATAGTTTCCAAGTATCCCACGCATCTACGTTCTCTTTGATTGGAGCCTGATGCATCCTTTTCTGCCCAGTGTCTAGTGGGGCACTCTACTGGCGTGAGAAGCACTCCAGATGCACTCTTTTCATGTATACAAGGCTTCAGTATTTGTACAGAAATAATTTATGGTTTGCTTTTTGTCACATTTTGTTCCAGATTTTAATCTGCTTTGGAACAGTTAGCCCTTGACCTTAGACCCGACTGCAAACATTATTACTTTCATTCCTTAAAAATGTGGTGGAAAATTGCATCAGAATGAAGAGTCTGTATTGTGGAGCACATGTAATTAATTTTGTTAAATTCAGGGGATGTTTAAACTGGGATAGGTTGAGTGCTGTCTATCCACACTTCCGGAATGTGAGGCTTGATGCCTTTCTTTGCAGTGACTATGGAGCATTGGCTTCATTCATCAGGTTGACGTATTGATGGTCTGGCCCATTGTTGGTGCCTGCTTTTTATGCACTTCATTTACAAGCTGAGCTCTCCAGGAGGAATACAAAGCGGAACAGAATAAGGGTTAGTTCTGGGATGTTCCCGAATCTAGTAAACACTTCAGCTAAGTGATCTAGAGGGACTGAAGTCCATTCTGCTGCTTCATGTGGAGGAATGGTGGTGTTGTTGTTTTTTTTATGAGTGTGGTATTTAGTTTTGTTAGCTTTTGTTAAGACCTTTGTCCTCCCTTTTTATATTGTTATTTGTCCTCTGGGAGCAATGGTTGCAAGACCCACTGTTTATTATTTAACTCTTTCCCAGACATCCAATGTAAGCATATGGTAGCCATTTATTTCCTGATTTTCAATTTTAAAGCTCAATTCCAGCTTCAGTCAAAAAAGTAAAAATAAAATTCATATCCCCACTACATTACTGGTGTCCTCTTCCACAGTCTCATGCTCTGTCCTTTAGCTGGGTCCCTCTTCTTGGTTTAACCAGTTGCCGACCAGTGGTGTACTAGTACATCGCTCAATGGGAAGTGGGATATCTTGGTCGTTGCCACAGTGAGGACCGAGATATCAATTTTTGGGCCAAGCAATTCCCTTGAATGTAAAAATAATGCTAGCGACTAAGAAGCCGCCGGATTATTTTAACAGGTGACAGAAGGGGTCCGCCCTCACCACCACCACCATCACCACTGCCTTTAACGAGCTCTCCTGTGCGATCGACATCCTGTTCCTGAGCCAATCAGAGGACCAGATGTTGTTCCTCACATTGTGTGATGTCAGAGACGAGGATTTTGTCACTTCTAGTTTGTCTCGTGTAAACAAGCTGTTACCAGCTTGAACAAGCATCTGATCAAATCAATCTTTGTTTGATCAGATGCATTGGAGTCCAAAGAAGAGGTAATAGACTTCAGATCTCTCCATCAAGAGGACCTGTCATAGCCCATGCTATCACAAGGGACATTGTTCATCCCTTGTGATAAACAGTAAGAGAGTTAATATTAAAGATAGTGTAATTTTAAAAATGTTAAAGAGCTCCTGTTTACCCGTGCTGACACGCAAATGTGAACGCACATGTAAGTCCAACATGCATATGTAAACAGTGATCACACAACTCATTTGGCATATTGTCGCAAACATCACAGCAATAGCAATAATTCTAGCACCAGACCTTCTGTGTAACTCTAAACTGGTAACCTTTAAAGGGTTTTAAAGTGGCACCTATTGAGATTTCTAGGTACTGTAGTTTGGTGCCGTTCCATGGGCGTATTTAATTTTAAAGCATGACCTGTTGGGTGTCTATTTATTTGACGTAACATCATCTTTCATTTTTTACCAAAAATTGGGTATTCTATTGTGTTTGTGTGCACTAAAATTAATTAAAATGAATCTGAAAAACTGCTGCGCAAATACCACATGACATAAAAAATTGTAACACCCACCATATTATTCTCTAGTGCAGGGGTGGCGAACAAGTTAGACACAAAGAGCCAAAATTTTAAACTGTGAAAGTCAGAGAGCCACACCACGCAGTGACCTGCCAAAACAGACAAACACTCACACAAAAACACATTAAAACCATATTATTCACCATAACACTTTCTTCCCCTTACAAAACACAGGGATGACCAGAGACTGCGGACAGTACAGGGATGACCAGAGACTGCGGACAGTACAGGGATGACCAGAGACTGCGGACAGTACAGGGATGACCAGAGACTGCGGACCGCACAGGGATGACCAGAGACTGCGGACCGCACAGGGATGACCAGAGACTGCGGACCGCACAGGGATGACCAGAGACTGCGGACCGCACAGGGATGACCAGAGACTGCGGACCGCACAGGGATGACCAGAGACTGCGGACCGCACAGGGATGACCAGAGACTGCGGACCGCACAGGGATGACCAGAGACTGCGGACCGCACAGGGATGACCAGAGACTGCGGACCGCACAGGGATGACCAGAGACTGCGGACCGCACAGGGATGACCAGAGACTGCGGACCGCACAGGGATGACCAGAGACTGCGGACCGCACAGGGATGACCAGAGACTGCGGACCGCACAGGGATGACCAGAGACTGCGGACCGCACAGGGATGACCAGAGACTGCGGACAGCACAGGGATGACCAGAGACTGCGGACAGCACAGGGATGACCAGAGACTGCGGACAGCACAGGGATGACCAGAGACTGCGGACAGCACAGATGACTGCTGACCTTTGGGGAGGTGGGGAGTGGGTACCTGAATTTGACAGGTACCCGCTCTTACTTCCGCAGAGTTTTTGTTTGATCTTACCTGTTCCTCGATCCATCCGCGCGCTGTCTTCCCGGCTTCTGTAATATGGCGCTCGGCATGACAGCCGGGTGCCCAGTGCGCATGAGCGAGAAGCACTTGCGCTTTGTGATTGGTCCGGCGGCTTCTGGGATCTGTCATGTGTCCCAGGTACCGCCTTACCATTCACAAAAAGCACCGCTTCTTGCGCATGCGCACTTGACACCCGGCTGTCATGCCCAGTGCCCACACTACAGAAGCCGGAAGACAACGCGCCGCTGGATAGAGGAACAGGTAAGATCAAAGAAGTAAGAGCAAAGAGCCGCATTCATTTTGGCCGGGAGCTGCATGCGGCTCGAGAGCCGCGTGTTCGCCACCCCTGCTCTAGTGCATCTGCTTAAAAACTATAATGTTTGAGGGTTCTATGTAATCTTCTGGCAAAAACAATTCATATTTTTACATGTATGTGAAAAGTGTCAGAACTGACCTAGGGGTCAAGTGGTTAATGACACCCACAGTCATCTAATTCACTTTCTGTGAGCCTAGAGCATCAGGGACACACCCATATACACAAACCTAACTTTGTTGACATGCAAAAACATATACTATTAATCCCTTCTCAGAATGAGCAATATACTTTTGATCCGTGGAATAATATTTTACCCAGAAGAAACATAAAGCTCAAATCTGGGTTTTAAAAGTTGTTCTGGACTTGTTAAAATATACAGTTTTTGAAGCAATATTTCCTCTCTGACTCTGTTCTCCAAAGACTTTCCACCTACTATACACCATCCTGCTGCCACTTCTGTGTTCAGTATTGCCCAACATCATTCAACCCACTAGTCCATTATGGACACACGCTTCAGGGTGAGTCATTGCTTCATCCTTGGTCTACTGTACTGCTGCACATTCATTACATGAGCAAATGTTTGTATAGGAGTAAAGAATAAAGGCCACTCACCACCAGGGGAGGAAGAGAAGGACGCCAACCCTGAAAAATAAATGGGTGGGTCCTAGGGGCAGGTGACAAGGGGCTGTACAGCAGCAGCATCCATTCACAGCAGTCTGTGAATGAAGAAACTACAAGTCTTGTCCACTGTGGCAAACAACTTGTAGTTGTCAAGGAACTGTAAAGGCTCTGGTGAGTGCACTCGTACTCCATTGATACTTCTTCAAGCTTTCTAACAGCTCATACTGAGGTGCAGACAAGAAAACTGCAGCAAGTGTCCGCAGGAGCCTGACATTGCACCTGCAATTCACTGATCATGAGTCAATGTTACGCAGGCTCCTGGGGGAAATAATAATTGCGTTTTTTTTTTTCCCCTGCACAAAATCTCGGCATTTTGTTATTTCTTCCACAAAGGTGACCTTATCTGTTAAAGGAAACTGTCCTGAAAGAAATACCTTCATGGTCAGTGAGCCAGTAGAGGATCAAAGCATCAGCTAGAGAGTCAGGATGTGCTACATGTGTGATTTATTTAAGGAGCCTTTGTGGCCCTACTTCTCATATATATCACAGAAGTTCAGTTCATTCAGTACCCCTGTGACCCATTTTCAGCAAACAGTGAACTAA